TAGATAGATAGATAGATAGATAGATAGATAGATAGATAGATAGATAGATAGATAGGCAGGCAGGCAGGCAGGCAGGCAGGCAGGCAGATAGATAGATGATAGATAGATAGATAGATAGATAGATAGATAGATAGATAGATAGATAGATATTTTGAGTCTTCTCACCTTCTGGAGCCTCTCTTGTTCCTGTTCTTGCCCTGCTATCAACAACGACAACTGCTGGGCATGTTGTTCTTCCAGCTTCTGCCTCAGCTCTGCCAGGGCCCACATCTTCTGCCTTAATGCTTCCTCTTCTGAAAACCACCCACATGAGATATAATCAGTTTCTGTGAAATCCTGGAGTCTTACACACGTACAGAGGGAGCCGGTTTGGTCCCAACTGGAAAACAGGAGACTGTGAGTTCTAGTCCCACCTTAGGCATGAAAGCCAGCTAGGTGACTTTGGCCCAATCACCAGGAGACGGTGAATTCTAGTCCTGCCTTAGTCATGAATGGCAGCTGAGTGACTTTGGCCCAATCACCAGGAGACGGTGAATTCTCGTCTCACATTAGCTATGAAAGCCAGCCGGGTTCTCTAATCTCATTTTTCACAATCTCAGGTGGTGTCTACCTATCTATGAAGGTTGCCATGCGCCCTAATTTTGATCATGTGAATGATCACAGGAATACTTGCGATGGTGCAAGGACGCATCATGGAACACCTTTTTGCACAGTTGCTAAGCAACTCGTTGTTAAGTCAAGGACTACCTGTACAGGGTCTATTTCCTTACCTCTGAGGCATCGTGGTGGGGTTTCGCTCTTGGCCTCGAGCCCAGCTCTACCCAGATACCTCTGATCATCGTGTGGCCATCGTCTCTCTTCCGCGGGCACAACCCTCGGTGCGTTCTCCTTCTGCACCGCCTCCACCTCCAGCTCAAGTCTACATTTCACCTTTTCCAACCTGTTTTCCAACAGCTGCTCGTTTCCGAAGGTCACTTCCAGGGTATCCAGAGGTGGCTGGCTCTGCATCTGCATCAGCAAGGGAGACGGGTGCTGAACGTCGTAGGATTTGTTGAGTTCCGTGGCCCCACTGCCCTTGACTTTGTCCGATGGGCTTTCGGTCTGGGCTGGGTTCTGGGTCAACCGGGCACCGCTCCCATCCTGCAGCTGCCAGGGGCTGAGATCTGCAAGGCAACTGCTCGACGCCGCTCCGTTTTCTAACGTCAACTCTCCTACGGTGGGATGGGCCAGGGAGTTTCCGCCTTCTCGCTGATGCGCCGGAAGTGGAGATGCTTCGTTGCGTTTCCCCACGACAAGCTCGTTGAAGGTATTGGAAGAGCTCTTGTCAAACGCCTGAGCTTTGCGGGGAGACGCAGGGACGAGATCTGCAGAGAGGTTTGGCACAGGAGCGGAGGTCTCCTGAGCGATCAAGTCCGCAGCTCTTCCCTTGGCTTTGGGACTCAACTCGTAGGCGTTCACGGGGTTGGTGATGACGATGTGCCCTACGGAAGAGGGCCTGGGCCGTCTCCGGTGCATCTTGGGGCTCAGGCTTGGCTCCGGACTGGGAAGTTTTGAGTAAGACCCTGTGAAGGTCCGGAGCAGGCTGTCCTTCCCGAAGAGAGAGAGGTTTTTGAAGTCTTCATCCGAATCCGAGTCCAAAATGGGAGGCGTTCCGGACCTCATTGGGATATCGACTTTAGAAAAACTGGGTGAGGTCATTCCACCGGAATGATTTTTAGCGGTTAAGGAAGGTTGAGGAGCACCGGGCTTGATAAGGCCGGGTTTTTCCGGGGTTGCAACTGGAGTATTCCTGCCTGTCAATTTTCCTCTCTCTTTCCCCAGCTCGTTCATTTTCACCGCACTGTTTTCTTTATCTGGGTGGCTTCCGGGGTTGTTTCTCTTGGAACTGTTTCGCAGGCTCCGTCGCGTCTGTTCTCTCTGAATGTACTCCCTGGATTTTTTTAAGAGGTTCTGAAGGCTCATGACGTATGGGTCGGTACCTTCCCCAGCACCGAGGCCAGGCTCAGCGGAATCTTTCTTGGCAATCTCTTTGGAAGGAGGTGGGCTTGGAAGACTGGAAAACGGACCTCCTGAGCCAACTCTCTTTTCTAAAGAACTACTGGAAGTTTCTGTGGCATTAGGAGGGATAAATTGTTCCGTTCCTTCAAAAGCGTTCCTGATTGCTGCGCCCTGGGTCTCCATTGGCTTAACATCTGGGGCCTTTTGGGGTTCTAGATGTTCACCCAAAGCAGTAGAATCCAGCAAAAGGCTGCAGGGTTCTGTTGCAGAGCCGCTCAACACTTCTGATTCTAAATCCAAATGAATATTCTCTTTCTCAGACTGATCTAAATCGCTTTGGCTGGACATCTTTTTCATCTGTCAGTTTTAAAAAAAATAATATTTAAAGTAGCGGGTTAAAAAGATCAGTAGGTTGTTCTAAAAGGAGTCCAAAATAATCGTAAAAGGCATACTGGATAGGATCCAAGTAATTGAAATGGTCCAATTGTTTACCCACTGAAGCCTTTACTGGTTCCATCCCATTCCAGCAAACCGGTGGGGTTTTAATGGCTTTTTAAGATTGATTTTTATTGTACAGCGCTCAGAATTTTTACAGAGCTGGGCGGAATAATAAATGTATGTAATGCACAGCAAATAACTTTTAGAACTAAAAGAAAAAATCAAAACCAGTTTTGATAGAGAGATCAAAGAGGAAAAAAAATCAAAGGGATGACAAACAGGATTTTAACTGTTCCTGAAATAGAAAGCAACGGATCGTTTGGCAGATGTAGCAACCTAACCCTAATCCCTACAGTTTTAATGTTTATTCATCAGATTTTTATCCCATCTTTATGACTTTATAAGTAACTGAAGGCAGTGAACATACCTAATGCTCTTTCCTTCTTCTATTTCCTTCACAAAACCCCTGTGAGGTGGGTTGGGCTGAGAGAGAATGACTCTGCCCCAAGGTTGCTAAGCGAGATTTCATGCCTAAGGCAGAACTAGAACTCGCAATCTCTTGGTTTTTAGGCCACTACCTTAACCACTACACCAAACTGGCTCTCAGTTTGATCTGTCACAATTTTTAAATTTTTTTTTTTTTGAAGCAGAAAGAGCATCAAGTTAATAAGCCAACTGCTCTGTAGTCTATGGGCATGGTTAAAAATACACACTGTGTAGAAGAAATGTAAGTGGTTATTATTGTATTCTCAGTGCACTCTTGCCACATCTTCTGAATCCCGGGCTGGGTAATGGTTGCCAAGCGTACACTAGTAAACAGAGTAAGAAATTGAATAGTGTGTGTTTGGGCTCCTGTTATCACTATAAACAAGCTGAGCTAACAAATGAGCTACTTTAAAGCAACAAAGCTGCATTGTTGGCTGAAATACCCTTGCGTTGTGCCCATCAAGCACCAGGACAATCTCATTCACCACTTCCAGTTACCACCATGATCTCTTTAATTCAATAGTAACGGTGTCAACACTCTAATGGGCCAACTCTAGAAAGAAAAATACACAGAAATTTATGAAAGGGAAGGGCAGACTCCTGTGCCTATTTACATTGGTTAGTTACAGCAAATATAATAAAGAGGAAATGTCAACACTTAAAAAAAAACTACCAGATTTTTTCTAGATCAAAAGTGCCCAAATTCTGCATTTAGCAGAAGTAAATTGAGATTACCTAAAGGTGTGTTCCAATAAATCCGCTAGAGATGTTTAAGTGCTTCCAAATTCTTTATCACATTAAGATATATGAAAGAATGAATCACAGACCAAACATACACGCATGAAAAGACACACACACACAAACTAGCACTGATGATGCTAGCTAGTTGGGTAATAAAACATCTGCAAGCTCAGAGACCACCAATGACCCCTTATTTCAACCTTGAACTACAAAAATTCTCCTTTATTAGTAACACACACATATGTATATACACATACATGTGTGTGTGTGTGTAATACACACACACACACACACACATATTCATATATATCAATGTATATATCTTAAATGTCAAACTTTAATTACATCTTAGGAACATTAGATGCAGTAGATCCATTGAACAGAAGCTGTCATTTTATTCATTCATTCTTCATATCCATCTTGCATTTATATTCCGCTTTTTATCTGGGAGTTTCTCCCAACATTGTCACTATAAAACAAAATCCCTACAAAAACAACCCTAAGAAGTAGGCTGGCTTGAAAAGACACCTAAGTATACTCTGTAGCTAGGAGGGAACTTCAACTTATCCAAATCAAGTACCTTGTTTCCAGTCTGGGATATGCTCAGGATTCAGTATAATCAGCCTATCCTTGACTGAGCTTAGTTAGAACGCCTTGCCCAATTGCCATCCTGAAATCTTACTTCAATCTCAACAGGATTATTTAACGCAATTTAATGATGTTATTTAATGTAAAACAGAGATTTTGCTCCTGGAGAGCATAAGAACACCTATTCCCTTCCAAATTTGTTGCAGATAAAAGGGCTCCCCCATCATAAAAAAAAGTCTTTCAAACTCACCTGCACATTGGCCATTATTTCCTCAACCCGGGTCAGCAAAAGCCTCTGCTTGGAATTCTGTCGCCAGCATTCTAGGTCCAGAGCCTTCTGCCTGTCCTGCTGAAGCTCTTTCTTCTTCTCCAGAGTCAGCTGTCAAAGCAAGGGAGACAAATTATTATTGCCATCTATTATTAGTCCTGGGCTCATATTGGTGGAGATTCTCAAAATAACTGAAGAAACTTTCTTGGATGAGAAGCAAAATGTTTTCAGAAACATCAAAAAAAGTCCAGTTGCCTTTTGGAAAGGAAAAAAAAAAAAAAAGTACCTTTGAGACAATCGTGAGCTTGCACTTTTATTAAACTTCATTGATTTAGAGTCGCAAAAAAAGGAGGCTTTTTTTAAATTACTGATTTCCAGTCAGTGCCCCCAGAAACTTCTGACCGGTACATTGGGAGGAAATGTTACAACGAATAAGATTGTAAAGCTTCAGCAAAAAGATCCACACGCACAAGGGAAGACACCACGCACTGAAGCAAATTTTCTCAATGCAATTCAGATTTTGAGAAATTTGGAATGAAAAGACACAAAGTAAAAAGTAAACAGTTTGGGCCCCGCCCTCACAAAAAGCAAGAAAAGGGCATATGAGCTCTGATAAAAGGATCATTAAAGATTTTTCCAGTGGACATCCTTAATGATTCTTTTATCATTTTAATGGAAGAGGGGGGAAAGTATTTGCTCTAAAAATAAGAAAAAGCAGAGCAGAAGATTCACAACGTACACACAGCAAAGTGCCCAACATAATTCAAGTTTAGTCATTAACTTTTTACCATGGACATGATTCAGCCAACTTACCAGAGGAGAAAGCACGGGGACCCCATTAAATCGAATAAGGGATACATATCTAGGCTGAACAATGGGAGACATTCCATTCTCCATAAACTCTCCTTGTATCCTAGCCAGGTGCTTCTTGCAGAATTTCTCATATTCCTCCATCGTTAATGCAGTTGGGCTGCAGAATGACACAGTGAGAGAAGAGTTGGAAAAAAAACACACCCCTTCTTTTGCAAATAACAACTCGGCATATACGCAACAATAACTGTCACTCTACCTACAATTCCCTGGTTAATCTGTCTCTGTTGTTGTTATTACTGGCCTGGAAAATTGCACCGCCAACTAAAGAGACTCTGCAACAGGACCTAAAAATTGTTATCGAAATCAAGACGAAAAACAACACCGCTGCAACTGAAATCAAAGGACAGCAATTATTATATTTGTACCAAGCAAAACCACACAACTCACAACTCTTCCAGGCAGCTATGAAGTTAAAATCTGATCTGACCGGACATGTTTCTGATTTTAAAATGGGTTCTAATATGATTACTTACTAAAAAGGCCAACTTAAAAATAAATGTGCTGTCATCCAAGTTGATGGCACCGTTCCCTGTTATACAATAAGTACAAAATTTAGGAGATTCCCCTAGCACCTGCCTTATCCCCAGTTGTCCCAAACCCACTGGTTTTATTCCTAAATTTGAATCTAGTCTCTTCCCATCGATCTTTAAAGATCCATGATGGGGTGCAACCTCTTCCTCTCAAGAAGCTTCCCAGTGATCCTTCTTATTAAAGGTTTTGGTTCTTGTTGTTATGAAGGTCTCTTAGGCTGACAAGCCAGATATTTATCCCAAGCATAAACCCTTCCTTAAAACACAAACACACATATCCACACACACACATCCACATCTACTACATCTTTAAATCAGGGCTGGGTTGTTTTTTTTTCCAGAATAGCTTGGATGAAGATGGCAGATGCTGAATAAACGGGGTCCCTCCCAGTTTCGAGCATCTGTTTGAGGGGTGAGGGAGATCATTTCAACGAAAGCCAAATGAAGCTTAAGTAAAAAATAAAAGGTAAAATTTAAACAGCGTTTAGGATTAGCTTAACGTTAAGGACAGCTCAAAATGAAGGACAGCTTCGCATATCAATCAAAGCTTTTAAAATGACAGGTTCATATTAACTGAAGCTGTAAGACAAAGCACCACTTCTCGTTAATCAAAGCATGAACATGTATTTTCAGTTTTGATTTAAGTCCTTCATTTTTATTTTTATTATTTATTAAATAAAAATGAAGGACCTAAATCAAAGCTGAAAATACATGTTCACGATGATCGAAGGGGCAGCTTCCCATGAACCCCAAACTGAACATTAAGGACATTTTTTTTTCCACACGAATCAAAGCTTAAAAATTAAAGACAACTTCACATTAATAGTTAAGGATGCTCAACAGTTAAGGATGACTTCACAGGAACCAAAGCCTGTAAAAAGTCAACGCTGCTTAATGACATTTAAGTGGGCAGCTCAATATATTAAGGACAGCCTCCCATGAAGCAAACGATTAAATTATTGAATTAATTTAATAATTTAATAAATTATTGATATTAACCCAAGCATAAAACGATATACATGTCAATATTAAGGACAGCCGTAACCTTTTATATATATAAATATGCAGCTTAAATTACACCCCCTCCCCCTTGTTCTCTGCAGACTAGACCCACCCACCCCCACCGACAATGCCGCCCAAAGCAGGCCCGCCGCAGCCCCCCGCGGATGCCCCACCGAGCTTCCCCTCGTCCGCCCCGCTTGCAACGAGCGCAAACTGCGCGCCTTCGCCGCTCCTTCCCACCGAGGCCGGCCCGGCCCTGCCCAGCGCCTGGCAACGCCGGCCGCGTCCCCGCCCCTTCCGGCGTAACGAAGCGGCGGCCGTTACAAGCCTCCCGCGCCGTCTCCAGGCAACCCGACTCTTGCATTCTGGGAGTTGTAGTTTAAAAGGGGGAAGGGTCCTTTCAAGGGAACAGGATTCTTGGATGGAAATATAAGGGTGACCACTTTGTCTTCTTCTGGAGATAGATTAGATTAGATTGAGAGATAGAGTAATAGGATGGCTAGATGGCTAGATGGCTAGATGGCTAGATAGATAGATAGATAGATAGATAGATAGATAGATAGATAGATAG